GAAGCTGTTCTCCAGGACGAAGTGATCTGAGAGGATGTGATGCTCCCGAGTCCAACATGCCCATTCCCGAACACTCATTGGTGTCAGAAACCCTGGCCACATGTAGAACGCATACTCCTCGGCCTTCTCCCTGCTTCGGCAACAACGTGGCATCCGACGAACCGACTCCACAGTCCGCCCTTCCATTCCTCCATTGAGAATGGGACCAAGATACACGCTGCCCTTCAGCATGCAAAACCATTTTTTCAGCTGTTTTGTAATCCATAACCAAACAGCCATGTTCAAACCACAAGAGCTGGTCCAGCGAAGATTTTGCCCCCACGTGACACATCCCATTGATCACAGTGAGGTTCGCCCCAAACTCCAAAATCAACCAGAGAGGGATAATCAGGGGCCCATTGTCTTCCCTAATCAACGTCCCTTTCTCTGTAATCCTCATTGTCACACCACCAAGCGCGCTTTGCACCATAACAGTAGTGTCTGGTAAACATTCCCATGGAAAAAGCGTCCGCACAAGATGCGTAGCAGCTGTATCCACCAACGCCACTCTCCCTTCCTGCTGAAGCAGCCCAGAGCCACATAACATTCGAATACTGGGATCCCCGTTTGATGCCGACTGTTCTGATGACAGCTTCATAGATTTCAGCACCTCTAACGCTTCAACAAGGACCTGATTGGCCGTTGATGGCGATGAGGGACTTGCAGAACCTTTATCCAATCCCGCATTAGCCGTCTCATCTCCCCCTTCAGCTACCTCTGCCTTTTTGGCATTTCCCCATTTCGCACCTTTGCCGCCCTTTCCCCCTTTGGGAGAATTCCCTTTAGATCTACTCCTCTCAGGATTTGAGTCCACATTGGAACTTGCACCATCCTTATATGGACATTGCGGCTGCAGATGGCCAACGGCCCCACACTCAAAACATCTTCCTCGCTCAAGGGAGTCTTTGTCATGGCGAAATTTGCAGCGGGATCCGAACTTGCAACCTGCATCGGTCTTCCCATATATCCAACAGAAAGGACGTTCACCATCTCCGCTGTACCTTTTTCCTTTCCCTTTGCCTTTGTCACCCTCCTCTGTCTCGTCACCAGCTCCTTTTGGGCCTTGTTTAACCTGGCCCTTTTCTTGGCGTCCGAGTCCTGCTTCACCTCTTGTTCACCAGCACTATGCAATAGCAGTTCAAACTCTGCCTGTAACATTTCAGCTAGTTTTGTCGCAGTTTCAGAGGTCGGCGAGTAGTCCACCCCCAATTTCTCCCGAAAGGATGCCACTCTGAAATGAACCGTAGGGTGTTTCGCCAGCAACGCGGATGACAAACCATCCAATCCCTTGATAAGCAAGGTAGCGTCCGGCTCAGCCGCTCTCAACTCCCTCAATCGGGAACGCCATTGCGCCCATTGACGCACTCCCTTTATGGCCTCTGAGATCGAGGTTGCTGGAGATGGTTGCACCAAGAAGTTCAACATTGTGCTGCGCTCATTTGCTCCACCTGGTTGGTAGACCGTCAGCAATTTGTAAAATATCATCACTGACCCCAACATTCGAGTGGAAACGATCTCGGTCTTCAATCTCTCCGGGATCGCCTGTAGCAGCAAAGACACCGCTCTCTGCTCCAACAAAACATGCACAGTTTGAACCACTTTGAGCCCTTCCAGCTCAGCCTTGATGCCCAACCTTTCCAGCGGAGAAACACTCAACCATTTGGCATACGCTTGATATGCCTTTGAGTAGACGCATTGCCACCACACTCTTCCTGTATCTGTCAGTGAAGACAACATTGGTTCGATCATTGCGATCCAATCACCCAGTGCCGTCGGATTGCTTGGTGTGTAGTCTGCCAAAGTTGGAAGGCTCATCACATGCTTCCCGAGAGCCTCCGGACGTTCGGTTCCAGAACTATCACCAGTGATTGGCATACCACGTGGCACCACTGCTCCAGGAGGTAAACTGACCCTACCACCAGGCCCTTGAGGTAGTCCATGTCCTATACCGGGCGCAACAGCTGTGAGCGGAACCTTTTCTAATTCCAACTTCCCAGCGACCATTTTCCACCGATACGGAACATCATCCACCATTGTATATCCACCCGATCCTGCTGAGTTCTCTTGCGTTGCAGTTTCCCGAGCTGAAACAAAACCGGGCTGGTTCCCCACAGGTGCGGCAGAACCATCAACACCTGACGGCACGGAAGTAATCGGAACATGTGTTAAACCAGGTGGTCCACTTGCATATCCACCACTTGCAGGACCTCCCGTGGGGTAATTCAATGGAGGCAATCTGGAGGGTTTCTTCCCTTCAGCTACATGCATCATTGGCACTTCTTTTTCATCCTCCACTTGAACATCCCCCTTCCTGGACCCAGGCAAGGATTGAAGATCACAACCCTTTGGCAGGTCGTAGCCCTCAATAGGCAGCCATGTCCCATCAGGCAACACAGTCCAAAAACCACCCATACCATCCGTGTAGAAAACTTGTCCTGGCAGGTACTGCTTCTCTGGAGTCATTCCTAGAGGATATGCCGTGTTTGCGTCCACCACTCCAGAGCTCCGTGCCCTTGAAGCTGACCCAGATGCAGCAGAGGTATAGCTTTTTTCCTCCACCCGATGCAACCTGTTCCCCAGCTCCTTTGTCTGCACAAGCAACTCTTTCAGCGCACGCTTCACCACCGCCATATCTTCAGATTGCTCTTCACCACTAACATCAGGAATGAGTTCTTCGTCGGCTTGCACTCCACCAATAGTACCTCGTTCCATTTGTCCCATTAAACCTGACGATGGTCTCTCAACAGGTGCAGGTTCCTGACCCAAAAGATCTTGCAGCGAAGGCGGTCTTCTCGTACCTTCACCACTCCTATCCCCTCCGCTCGCGGGAAGACTTGCCGGCCTTGACTGCCTAAGTCTCATTTCTTCTTGAGCCCGCTCGCTCCAGAAAGGATTTGCTGCTTGAACCGGAACCACTTCGTTTTCCACCTGAGGCGTTGGTTGTATCATTGCAACCTCCCTACCATCTGTCAGTGCTTGTACCATTTGTTGTCGATCTTCACCCCCATCACCACGATTTCCTTCGGCTTCATTGGCCGTTGGCGACAGTCCAGGCTCAGAGCGACGCCGCATCATGTCCATGGCGTTAAACAAACGAAAAATCTTTACCAATTCCGCAGGAAGCCTAATTTGGGCTCATAACCTCCGGGGGGCAACCGAAGGAGGACAGGGAACAAAACAGTCAACCCCAACAGAAGCCCTTAATACCCCTGGAACAACCAACAACCGAACAGCAAGACCCCAAACCAAGGGCACACTTTTTACGAAATCTTCGACCGCTTTGGTCATGGCTTGAGCCAACGATTATCGGGTTCATTGACCCTTGAACCTCCAATACCAACTCCTTTCTACAATACCAATTGCAGCTCCGCATAGGGTTTAGGGCTTGAGTTTGGATTGACTTTTTTGGCCACCTGCCTAGCGTCTAGGGTTTCGTCAAGCAGAGCATGCTGCTGCCTGCGACGCCCAGACGCTACAAACACGTAGGATGCAATGCCCTAAATATAGCTCCCTTATTTTCGCACGGTTGTGTTGCAAGCAGGGGCGCAGCAAAGTTCTGAAGCCTCGCAATACCCAGTCCGCACGCAGGCGTGGCAAGACCTACGGCACCGGTCGTCAACTGAGACCCTAAACCCTAAATCTTAAACCCTCAACCCTAAACCCTGCCATAGCCAGAGTCCCTTGTCTCCATCTCAAGCCCGAAGCTCTCAAAGTATTCAGGAGCTGAGGTGCCGAAGCCCTGCTGTCGTCGAAGCCTGGAGGGCTCAGGTTCAACAAGAAGAACTTCAGGTTTCTGGGGCCTTCTACATGGGCTTAGTCACTTAGTCGGGCCTCTGGCGTTTTGCGTTTACTCCCAAGGGCGTATACAACTTCTACCAACTGTGAGTCGGGGCCGTCTGCATTGAAACACAATTTGCCCACATGCCAGTGCCTGCTGGCATCAGTGCTGCTGGCGGAGGCATCTGTTGCTGCCGCATGTTTGGAGAATGGTGGACCTGGTGTCATGTCTTCCACATTTAGCCGTCAATGGACAAAGACGAGGGTACTGACCGGCTCAGCCACTAGACCCACACGCGCTAGGCAACTGCTTGCCCTCCTGCGGCTCCTTCCCAAGGGCACCTAGACCCTAAACCCTAAACCCTAAACCCTAACCCTAAACCCTAAACCACCCACCGGCAACCCTCCACCATCCACTATCACCACCAGCAGCTCCACGATTCGAGCCCTGACGCATGATGAACCTAGTTGCTGAGTAGATCAGCCCAAAAAAAGGCTAACCTCTCAATTGATGCTAGGATTGTTTATACCCCAAAGGGTTAAAGGTTATCTACTCAGCTTCTGAGTAAATGCCCTATAGACGCCCCAGATAGTAGGATACCCTTGTAATAAGGACCCCCTAATATCGTAAACCCTCACCAAACCCTAAACCCTAAACCCTAAACCCTAAACCTCAAAAGGAGTGCAGTGCAGCTCCAGCTGCCGGCGTTGATGACTGGCGCATCGGGCTGTGCTCAGGCATCCTAGGAACTTGTCCGGCCGGGCCTGCAGGCATTAGGGTTTAGGGTTTAGGGTTTAGGGTTTAGGGTTTAGGGGTTCAGGGTTAGGGGGGTTTAGGGTTTAGGGTTCAGGGTTTAGGGGGGTTTTCGGGTTTTAGGGTTTAGGGGTTTAGGGGGTTTGGAGCTTAGAGGGGTTTTAGGGTTTAGGAGGGCATGCTTGCAAAGTTGCGCGCAGCACTGCATGGGTTTCGGCCCCACAGTAGCCTACTTAAAACGACCTGCCAATAACCTCTCCAAATCTCTGGACCCCTAAGACGCCTTCCCACGGTCGACACAGGATTCGGCGACCTGCTTACGTCTGATATTTTGCAGCTGCGCGGCGAGCTAGATCAACAGGAAAAGGAACCAACCTTCACAGCACCACCGGCATCACCTTAACGAAAGCAAACCTCCATCCTGAACCGACTACTGGCCTGCGTTGGGTGGCTCAATGGGCACCGGGGTCCACAGTAGCGGGCCCACGCTGCACCGCGAGTGGACCGGTGCGCCACCGACCTTGGCTACAGTATGTTTGTCTGGGGCCCTCTTTGCCGACAGTTTAACTAAGGGGTAGCAACTACTAAACTGTAGGTAGTTGGGGTTACAGGTGAGACGTGGGTGAGACTTGTGGGTTAATGCAGCCGAACCCTGCACATTGAGAGGACTTAGGGTTCAAGGATCGGGCCTTTGGGCCGCCAGTTCAAGCTTTCGAGACTTTGCTGTTTGTAACTCTGTCAGAGCCGGCTGAGGGTGGCCATACGGCCGAAACCGCATTCACTTCGGGGAGAGTTTAGGGTTTAGGGTTCTTGTCCGGCCGTTTTGTATTACATGTGTATTCACTTCTGGGAGGGTGTTAATAAAAGTGTTGCCTTGATAGGAAGTTTCTGAGAGAGTGTTTGTCACAGCAATTCGGCTCTCCGGGTCTCTCTGTAGAGCCTTTTACCGGAAACCCTTCCTGCAACCCCCAACTACCTACAGTTTTCTGGGCTAATTATAAGGGTAATTGCTGCTAAAACTGCAGGTAACTGGGGTTGCAGTTAAACCCTAAACCCTAAACCCTAAACCCTAAACCCTAAACCCTAAACCCTAAACCTTTGGAACCTTGCTAACCTCAAGAGATCCCTCTGAGGCGCCGAATCCCTGGCAGCCGCCATCGGATCCAAACCTGGCGAGGGCGGGCGGAAGATTCCAAGGTGCAAGGTTCCAAAGTGCAAGGCTTAGGGTTTAGGGTTTAGGGTTTAGGGTTTGGGGTTTAGGGTTTGGGGTTTGGGGTTTTTTAGGGTGCGACCGGAAAGCCGCAAACTTGCGGAATTCCCAAACTCTACCTGGGCCCCTCTTTATATATACCTACAGTCTTGTGGGTTCTGACTGCTCATTAAGGGTAGTTACTACTAGCTACTTACTAACCTGTAGCAGAATAAGAGTCCCAGGTACTTGCAGGGGCCGAACTACTAGGTTACTAGAACCATTAAGAACACTCTTCGTACGTCCTGGAAGTACATGGAAACAGCTAGGAAGCAAACAAACGGTGCAACTGCACATCAAGAAAGGTCATAAGCTTGGCCTCTGGTTTTTGTATCGGTTCCCGAGCCCGTCAACTCAAAAGCCCAACCCGGTGCCTGGCATCTCGCGTGCTGCCGGAGGCATCTGTTGAGGAGCTTGCTGCATGGGGGAGTGGTTGACCTGATGCAAGACCCTCGAGGGCTCAGCATGTCCAAACCCACCCCCCCCCCCCTCCCTCAATGGGAGTGGTAGCCAGAGGACTTTCAGGGGAGAGAGAAAGAGAGAGAGAGAAGTCGCACACCCATGGCCTCATCTGTCTAATCTGTCTACTGCCTACTGATGCTAATAATTCCTTCCTACTACGCCCCCTCCCCTCCCCCCAGCTAAAAAAGTGCTGATGAAGTGACTGCCCTGTCCCTGTTGATCTTGCTACCGCAGCAGTTGTGGCACTTCGACTCCCCTAAACCCTAAACCCTAAACCCTAAACCCCAAACCCTAAACTGCTCAGATTATTTTCGCCTGATTGCCCTCCAAGCTGCGGAGGTGGCGGGGTCGTGTGACTGGGGCGTTGGGCTGCCATCGGGAGAAGCCACTCGCATAGGTCGCGAAAGGCCTCCGGGGTGCCCCCCATTGCTCATCATTACAGAGGTTTAGGGTTTAGGGTTTAGGGTTTAGGGTTTAGGGTTTAGGGTTTAGGGTTTAGGGTTTAGGGTTTAGGGTTTAGGGCCCATTGCCCATCATTACAGAGATCCAGACCACATGCCAATCCCTGCAAGCATTCCTTGCAAGAACCCTCCACCCTAAACCCTAAACCCTGAGCCCTAAGCCCTAAGCCCTAAGCCCTAAACCCTAAGCCCTAAGCCCTATAAACCCTAAACCCTAAACTCGTCTACGGCCGATCATTCTCATGGCCCATGCGGCTGCCTGTCGTTGCGGCCAGGGCATCCCAGGGCAACTTGCGGATGGCGCTGTTGAGCATATGCAAAGGGAGGCACGAATCCTCAAAAGGGCAGGCTGTTCAGGGTTCAGGGTTTAGGGTTTAGGGATACCAGGTTGGGATGTTCCCTTAGGCTAACAGTCCTTAAACGGGGTACCCCTGTATTATAATTAATCCCCAAGGGGAACATCCCAACGTTTAAGTTTGATGTGATTTTTGGGCAGGCTGCATAGGGTTTTAGGGTCTAGGGTTTAGGGCCTTCGAATGCTCAGTTTCGAAACTTATGCACGGTCAAAACCTCGGAGCTATTTGCCCGTGACTTGAGGAATCGTCTGGGGTTCAGCTAGGCCGCCATTGTCCCAGCGCCCTGGTCAGAGCCTTGGTTCCGGACACGCTTTTTCAAACTCATGCACCTGGGTGGTTTTTCGAAAATGCGCGAGGCCTAAGATTGACCCCCAAACAACGGGATTCCCTCATTATTAAGGCCAATACGGTAGCCCGAATTTCGGAAACCCCCACATGACAGTGGCCCTTTGAGCCCGATCCCCCCTCAAAACACTCAAGATCCCCCCTCAAAACCCTCAAAGCCCTGAAGTCGCCAGCCTCGAGGATCCTGGCTCCACTTCATCCAGGCGGCTCTGCCCTGGACCCGGGCAAGTCATCTGATTTCCCACGTTGCGGTGTAGTGCCGGGAAGGCCGCCTGATGGGTTCAGAAGTCTTCTGTCTCGTTGGGGTTTGTGAAGGTGTGTCAAGCAACGTGGCGACACCAAGGTCTACGTCGCCGCGGTTCCTGTTGCTGCGCTTAGGTGAAGGAAACTTATCGAACTTAAGGTCGCTTTTCGGCGTAGCCCCTCATGTGTAATTACCCCCCCATTTTCAAAACATTTTTGTGAACTGACCATATGGGGTTTACGAAAATAGGAGACCCGAACTAACCCCCAAGTAGTAGGACCCCCTAGAATAAGAACCCCAATAAGGCACCCCTATGTGCGCCAACTCCCATGTGGGCCCTAAGAACCAGGCCACAGCTCTAAGCTACTATTTGCTTAAGAACCGCCCAAAAATAAAAATATTATTCTTTGTAAGGGCAATATAGGGATTATTAGTTTATATTTCTTTTGGGGTTCCCTAAACCCTAAACCCTAAACCCTAAACCCTAAGCAAATAGTAGTAAGCAAGGCAAGTTGCTGGAGCGGTGTCGTGCAACTGGCGCCCGGCATCATTCGGATCTCGGACACCACCTGGGCCACCAGCAGGACCTGAGGGGTTTAGGGTTTAGGGGTTAGGGTTTAGGTGTTACTTCGGCTCATATGTGGGGGTTTCCGACAATAAGGGACCCCCAAAAAAGACCCCCAAATAGTGAAATCCTCTTTTTCTGAGGACCCGAATAAGGTACCCCTAATCTCGGAACCCCCCCCCCCCCCCTCATATTTTATTTTGCAGTTTGCGCTCTCTTTGCCGCCCGCACGTAGCTGGACCGTCACTAACTTGGTGTTTCAGGTCTGAATATGAAACACGAGGGTTTCGCACACTTTCCCGAAACCCCAAACCCTAATCTTTGCCGCTTTACTGCACCTCCTGCCGCACCAAATCCCAGATTTTCCAGCAACCTGAAAACCCCCAAACCCCAAACCCCAATCCCCAAACCCTAAAACGGCCTATAAGTGGGGAACTATACCCCTTGTATACCCAAGGCGGGGTAGGGGGCCTCCCCAGGTTGAAACGACTTCTGGGTTAGGGTTTACAAGGTTTGGGGCTTAGGGTTTAGGGTTTAGGGCTTAGGGTTTAGGGCTTCGGGTTTAGGGTTTCCGGTTTAGGGCTTATAGGGTTTAAGATTTCTTTTGGCCACCCGCCTAGCTGACACTGAGGCCACATTGCAGGGACTCATTCCGGAAGTATGTGTCATCTGAAAAAGGCAAAATCGGGCCTTCAAAGGAAACGCAGAGAATGCGTTTGGTTTGGGGTTTAGGGTTTAGGGCTTACTCGGCGCTGTCCCTGATATCTGAGCAACTGAGCGCACATCGTCGGGACGAACTGGACAGCAGCCCTAAACCCTAAACCCTAAACCCTAAACCCTGAACCACCAGCTGACCCGACAGGATGTCCAAAACACGAGATCTCAGGGTTCAGGGTTTAGGGCCTCTTCATGGCCAGCGCCACCAGCATCCTCAAGGGCCTACTCCCCTAAATCAAAAGCCTTGTACCTCGACTCTAAAGCCTTTGTGCCTTTGTGCAACTACAGTCCTTAAAGAACCCTTAATATTATACCCTCAATCCTCCACCCTTGAAAGGCAAAGAATCTGAGCCCTCAAACTGAAAGACATTCACATTGATGAAATTCTTGGCATCCTCTGAGGCCTCTAAAACATCCCCTAAAACCGGCCCTAACTGTAAACCCTAACCCCTAAATCCCATAATAATTTAGGGTTTAGGGTTTCGGGTTTATACCCTAAACCGGGCGCCTTGGCTGGTGAGAGGCTCTCGAGGCAGCGAGGCAGGGTCCCGTCGGGGAGTCATCAGCGGCACTGAACCGCCGTGTGAGGGTCCGGAAGCAGCCTCTCCACTGTCGGGCGCAGGCTTCGAATCATTCCATGCAGGAACTCGAGATTCGGTAGGATCTTTGATGAAGGCTGACAGACTATGCAGCAGCTCTTAAACTTATAAGAGTGACAGCCGTGTGTCGACGTAAGTCGGGAGACAGCTTGCAAAGTAACCTCGCAGGCTCAAGCCAAGATGCAGGTGCCACGTTGTGCGTGAAGTCCATCCCGCGCTGGTGCTGGACCATTTGCTGCGTGCCCATCATCGGACCTGCGCTTCAAATGCCTAGCGTACACTGCTTGGACAGGTCGTGTAACTCACGAGGGCTTCCCAGAGCGCCTTGCACAAGTACGCATGAACAACATGGCTTGTAGCACACGGCATGGTGGAACTCTCCTATTGAGCGCAGACTGGGGGGGGGGGGGGGGGGGGGGGGGGGGGCAGCAAAAGTACCACGCCTGCCTGCCGAATGAATGCACTGGTATATTCATCTGCAACAAAAGCCAGAACAAACGAAGTGCTAGAGATGTGTCAAAAGGACAGCGTGCTAGCCAGCGTGCTAGCGCCAGCGTGCTAGCCATTGCTGCTAATTAATTGCAGCAGCAGCACCACCAGCAGCAGCCTGAATCCTACAAGCCCCGTGAAGCCTACAGCCCTGCAACTCAAAACGCGTGCCTGGTGCTGTCATCGCAGGTGCCACGTTATGCACGAAGTCCATCCCGCGCTGGTGCTGGACCATCTGCTGCATGCCCATCATCGGACCTGCGCTTCAATTGCCTAGTGTGCACTAATTGGACTGGCCGTGTAACAAGGATTTGCCAGAGCACCTTGCGCAAGTACGCATGCACAACATGGCTTGGAGCACACGGCATGGCGGAACACTTCTGTTTCCCACGGATTTGGGCGCGGCCAAGAGAACCACTCATGCATGCTGAACAAATGCACGGAGTCTGGCTGCTTCAACTACAACCAAGATTCCAGAAACCCTGTGAAGCCTACGTCAAAACGCGTGCCTGGTGCTGTCATCGCAGGTGCCGCGTCGTGAGCGAAGTCCATCCCGCGCTGGTGCTGGACCATCTGCTGCATGCCCATCATCGGACCTGCGCTTCAATTGCCTAGCGGGCACTAATTGGACTGGCCGTGTAACAAGAATTTGCCAGAGCACCTTGCGCAAGCACGCATGCACAACATGGCTTGGAGCACACGGCATGGCGGAACACTTCTGTTTCCCACGGATGTGGGCGCGGCCAAGAGTACCACTCATGCATGCTGAACAAATGCACGGAGTCTGGCTGCTTCAACTGCAACCAAATTCCAGAAGACCTGTGAAGCCTACGTCAAAACGCGTGCCTGGTGCTGTCATCGCAGGTGCCGCGTCGTGCGCGAAGTCCATCCCGCGCTGGTGCTGGACCATCTGCTGCATGCCCATCATCGGACCTGCGCTTCAATTAGCGTACGCTTATTGGACAGCCTTCGGTGCGGCAACACAAACACCGCGCTTCTAGCAAAAGCAGATAGCAATAAACCGCACACATGCACTACACATACCATATGCACACACGTCAGTGTGAAGCAATAGCTGACTTCCAGCAACACCTACATGCCCAGGGCGGAGTACTTCAAAGCAGCTACAACCCTACAGTCTGCCCTACAAAGCACCTTGAAATTCTGAACGCGTGCCTGCCGTAGGCATGGAATGTGGTGGGGGATGATAAGCCTGAGTGAGGCTCAGGATGGTTCAGGGTGGCCTGCTTCCTTTTTCGGGTAGAGGCTTTCAAGTTTGAGGCTTCGAAACCCTAAACCCTAAACCCCAAACCCTTTTGTCATCAAGCTCGGGAGTCCCTTTGAGGTGCGCAAAAGCAGTAGGTACATTGACGTCTGCTCCTCATTCGTGAAGCACAGTAGCCGGTTTTTCTCCCTGCCAAACGATGAAGGGGGCATTTAGAGGAAACCCTAAACCCTGAACCCTATAGACCCTAAACCCTAATGGCCCGCAACACAAAGGGTGTGTTGTGGGTTCTTGAGGTTTGCTGCTTCGGGTTTCAGTGTGGGAGGGCCCTGACTGAAGGGCACCTCGTCAAGTCTTTGAGTCCCCGGGCAACTTCGCCGGGTCCGAAAAAGCGACCGGACCACGAAATCATACAGGGGCCTTCATTCATAATTAGAATAGGGTTCTGGGCGTAATTATGGTAGAATTTCAAGGGGGACTCCTCCTGATCCCGGGCAGCCTGGCGGCATGTCGGCCAGGGTTTAGGGTTTAGGGTTTAGGGTTTAGGGTTTAGGGTTTCGGGTTTAGGGTTTAGGGTTTCGGGTTTGGGGTTTAAGGGTTTAGGGTTTAGGGTCTAGGGTTGCTTCTATGGGCTTCTCCGAAGAGCTGGAACCCTGGTCTTGCCGGTATCACCGGTATCCAAAGGCATGAATTCCCGTGAATTCTATTTCAACAGCATGGGCAAGGGGCGAAAAGAAAAAACGGTCAGCTCTCACAATTCTGATCCCTTGTTGGGTACCCTAAAAACAATACCTGCCAAATTAGGAAGAGTAACCCCAAAAAGGGGCCGTAACTTAGAGAAGTCACCACATGTACTGTGCGGGTTTTGTGCGTTTGGTCGCAGACTTTGGGGTCGGCCTGGGGAGCCTGAGTGTCGCACATGGCTCTCCAGCTGCTGCTGCGCAAACCACATGCCAATCGTTGGTCCTCCTTGTCCTGCGCCGTCATTTTTTGGGGGGGTTTCTCCGAAATAGGGGTGCCTTACTGTGGTCCGCATTCTAAGGGAGTACGAATGGTTGGGGGTTTCCGAGATAGGGGTACCTTCTTGTGGTCCTCATTATATGAGAATACGACTTATTTGGCGGTGTATACCAGGGTTCCCTTATTTTTTCGTAAATCCCCATTTCGGGCTTGGAGCATGTCCTGGCCGGTTGGGGTGTATTGGTGGACTATGCACGGCCGGTCTGAGTTTGGGCTTCATGCACGTGCTGAAAAAAGACGTGCTAGCTACAGCATCAACGTCTCGCACCCTCAACCCTCAACCCAACTTTGATCCCTGTCTTGGGATGTTCCCCCTTATGCTAACAGTCCTTAAGAGGGATTCTAATAGGGGGCTGTTAATCACTGCTAGTACCAGGGGGAACCTCCCAATCCCGGACCATTGATCCCCAACTCCCTGTGTCCTTGGTTCGGATTCGGAAGCTCTTGGGGCGCCTGTTGGCTCGTCGGTTCGTCGGGCTCTGAATTTGAGGGTTTCGGGTTTGATTCTACATATACGATGATGAGTAGTGTGATTAAACATGTATCACATACAAAACAACATACATACATACATACATACATGCATGCATACATACATGAATACAACAGACATTTCACAGGTATATATATATATATATATATTTGTATATTAACTTGAGGGATTGTTGGCTGAAGTGAGTCAAAATGGTACTTGCACTCTATAGCAGTCGCGACTGAGGGGTTGGTTGTGATAAAGTCTCCGGCCCCCGCCACAGCAGCCTAAACCCAGCGCACCGTGGGATCTTTAGGGGCGATGAGGACTGAGGTCAAAAGCGGTTATACCCTAAACCCTAAACCCTAAACCCGAAATTATGGAGTTTATGGAGTTTAGGGGCTTTGGGACTCCTGCCCTGTACATCATAGTAGGGCCAGAGGCTCGGCCTTGCATGCAGCCAGGGCTTTGATGGCTTTTTCCGGTTGAGGGACCTATAGTGGGGAGGCTCAAGACTCCAAGGGTTTAGGGTTTAGGGTTTGCGGCCGATCCATGCAATTCAGCAAGGGCTGCCCCGTCCCTACCCAAAAGCCAGCCGTGCTGGAGGAAGCTCAATCCTAAACATGACCGAAAGGGAACCCCCAAAACCTGTGAGTTTTTAGGTTCCCTACATATCCTTGCAACAATTGCAAAAATCAGCCCAAAACCTGTGAGTTTTTAGCTTCCCTACATATCCTTTGCAATAATTGCGATGATTAAATTGGGAATGTAAACAGCTCCATGATGTGACTCCGTCCCAAACCCCACAAATTAGCAGGTTACAACCCCCCGAAATACAGGGCATAACCCCTAAGCGCCATAAACCCTAAACCCTAAACCCTGAACCCTAAACCCTAAACCCTACACTCAAACCGGAAACGCCCTCCAACAGGCAGGGGCGCGAAGCATGGGATTGGGAGCTCCGGAGGTGTCAGCCACGTGGGCGAAGGGGCGCCTAACGATTCGGGTTCAGGGTTTAGGTTCAGGGTTTTGGGGTTTGGGGTTTAGGGCTAGGGTTTAGGGTTTAGGGTTTTGGGGTTTTTTTTTCGCTCCCGCATAGCTGGTCTTGGGGTTTGGGGTTTAAGGTTTAGGGTTCAGGGTTTGGGGTTTAGGGCTCAGGGAATCTGATTTTGGGTTTAGATACCTGAAAGGGTCTAAACCCAGAGGCAAAACCTGAACTGCTTCCCTGATTATGAAGCCTACAACCCCTAAACCCTATAAACCCTAAACTCTAAACCCTTTTTTGTTGAGCAGGGCAGGCTGCATTGCACATTGTCCCGGTCTCTGAGTTGCTGCTGTGTTTGCAACCGCTGATTTGGGAACACTTCGAACCCTAAAAGCCTCCACCCTAAACACCACTGAGCGCTAATAAAGCCACAAAGCCCTTTTTGCATCCGGAAAACCTCAACCAACCGACCAGACCACCACAAGTTCAAGCACCCCAGCCCCACGAGCTGTAGGGTTCAGGGCATGCGGGCTTAGGAATTTAAGGTATGGCCCAATGCTTAGGCTTTTGTAAGGCAACTACGTCTCCTGCAGGGAAAAGAGACCTGAATTGCCACAAGAAAACCTCTGCCAAAACGAGACCGAAATCCTTGTCACGCTAAACCTACCGCCAGCGAACAACGTATCCCAAGCGAAGGTACTTTGTCCACCCATCCAGGGATGCGATGGAGGGCTTCCGCACATGGTTGGCACGTGGGACAGTGGGCCCTTGGCTGTTCGGTACATTTCCGCCCCCATGCACTGCTCTGCTCAGAGACTGTGGCCTACCTTGACAACCACATGAACCCCAAAATTGGGTCATGTACCCTATGCTACTATAATCCCTACCAAAGGGTGTATGAACCACAAACCCTTTTAGGGTTTCACCTGGGCTTCCAAGGGAAGGCCTCCCACAGTTGGTGTGCTTGCCAAGACACGCCTGCTGCCGGCCACTGGGGGGGGTGGCCCACGAAAGGCTCCGTTCCTGAAGGGTCACGATGTGGATGTGCGGACCAGGGGGGATTAGGAAAAGAAAACAAGAGACCCCCAATAGAGTCCCCTAAATACTAGGATTCCCTATATTAATAAGGACCCCAATAAGGCACCCCAAACTTCAAATCGGGGAGTTTAGGCTTTCGGCTCTTGGCAGAGTTGGTTGGGCGGGTCAGGAGAGGCATGAAGCTGAAGCTGTGCGGACTTGGCGCGCAAGATGCTCTGAATCTGATGAGTGGTCTCGAACTCCTTCTACCACGAAATGCCATGAAACAAACTGCGGTAAGCCTTCCGTGCCATGCGCCAAGAACGGGGAGGGCACTTGAACAAGCAGAAACGCACCAAGACCCCAACACCCCAAGACCCCAACACCCCAACACCTGCAGGATCTCGGATCGAGGAGCAAGGGGTTCGGGGTTTGCGAAGACAAGAGAAGACACCCCAAGGAAAGGAATCGCAAGAATTACGAGTAGCATTGCAGCTCAGATTCGCTCACTTTGGAGAAAAGCAGGGCCATGAGCTGGATGAGTCTGAGGAAGAGGGGCCTGAGCGCAAAGTATGTTCGCTGCCAGGGTTAGGGTTTCGGGTTTAGGGTTTAGGGTTTTTAGGGTTTTTAGGGTTTTTAGGGTTTTTAGGGTTTTTAGGGTTTTTAGGGTTTTTAGGGTTTTTAGGGTTTTTAGGGTTTAGGCACGAAACCTTAAACAAACCCTAAAGACTTGAGGTAGGGCTGTAGAGAAAGTCATCATGTAGCTATGCACGCCATCTGGACTTCCATCTCTTCGAGCTGAGGCTGGGGTCAGATGACTGTTAAAGGGCTTCGGCTTGCCAAAACCCAGTTAAAAGGCCCTTGATAGGGTTGATTTTGGGGAGTAGAAGGCCTTAAAGGCCCATCCTGGTGGGTGGACCTGTTGCGGGCTGCCACTGCTGCCTCGGCGCTGGCCTCCAAACGGGCACTTGGCCCATGGACTGCAACAGCCGGTCGTCTTCCGTGGCCTCGTAAAGCAAGGCCTCGCGGCTTCTCTGCACGAGGGCCATTAGCGCAATAAGGGGCCTTAATGATTGGGACAGGGTTTTGGGGGTTGTTTTCCTAGCTAGCATTACAAAGGGACGAGCAGGGAATGCCATTGGTAAGTATGCTTCCTCCGCACCTCCCCAACCTTCACCTCTTGAGCCTTCAGCAGCTAAGCTACTCCTCCAAGCCTGGAAAACGCAACTCTTGTGCTCCTGCACCCCCTCCCACCCCCCAAACCCTGAACCCCATAAACCCGAAACCCTAAACCCTAAACCCCAAACCCTCAACCCCCTAAACCCTCAATCGCTTGCGGGTTGGACCTGGCTCGGCAAGGGCACCATCGAGGCTGGGCCGTGAGGCTGGACCGGGTGGTGGCCAGGCGGCGCCATGCCTAGTGAGGGCCCCAGAGACTCCAAAACCCCGCAATTTAGGAATGTAACCTTAAATCATATTATAGGGTTCCTATTCTAATTTGGGGTATATTCCTCAATTAAGGAATATACCTTAAATCATATTAGGGTTCCTATTCTAATTTAGGGTATATTCCTTAACTAAGGAACATACCTTAAATCATATTAGGGTTCCTATTCTAATTTAGGGTCTATTCCTTAATTAAGGAACATACCTTAAATCATATTAGGGTTCCTATTCTAATTTAGGGTATATTCCTGAATTAAGGGGTTTTGGAGTCTCTGGGGCTTTTCCGCTCGACTCTGGGCTCTAGGCCCGACATCTCACACGATGCGTTTGGTAGAAATCATGTAGAGACCACAAGGGAAGAGACTTCGTATCATTATTGCGTATAGCATATATATATATATGTGGCCGAGACCTTTAGGGTCTATTTCACGGCTGGTTCTTCTTTCAGTAGTAGTGCAATAATAATAATAATAATTTTAATATTATTATGAGTATAATAATACTGACCGTAATTGTAATAGGAATAATAATAGTACTAGTAATAGTAATAGGAATAGGAATAGTAATAATACTAGTAATCGTATTAGTAGTAGTAACAGTAATAGTGAAGGTTTGGTCTGTGTGTGCACCGGCGCCAGCAAGTGCAGCCATGTAGCTCTAGCACACTTTGAAGTAAGAGATAGACAAGTTGTTTCATAGCCTGAAGAGGGGCGAAGGGCTCTCTCATTTCCGATTACGAGGTAGAGGTGAGCTATCTCATTTCTTAGAAACATAGAGGAGATCTCATTTCCACGACAGAGACATCTTTCACTCAGGAGAGAACGCAAGCTGTTTCATTTCCAAGAAAATAGAGGAGCTCTATCATGTCGCATTAGAAGTGAGAAGCTCTGCACTAAAAGATAGAAGGCATCGATTCGTTTCCCTTTTTCTTTTGCTTATCAAAGGGTCTTTTCAGTTCGAACACAGGATTTCTTTCATGCCCTATAAGAAGGATCGAGGAGCTCTTTCATCTGAGAGATAGAAGAACGCATTCATGAAGTATACACGAGCTCATTTCTCGTCAAGAGGCAGAGGCGTGCCCAGCTCTACCATTACCTAACTCTTACCTGAAATTTCTCTATCTCGCAGAAGGTCATGAGAGACTTCCTTTTTCACGCTGCAGGAAATGAGAGAGTTCTCTTCTATGTCGATTTTCAGACATAGCTTCGCAGCTTCTCTATCAATGAAGAGTTTTGAAGGCCACTCTGGGCCATTCTCTGTCCATCAAATGGGACATGACATAACGCATCACTCGCTATCGTTTATGTGATAGAGTTTCGCTATCTCTGAATAGGTCATCTGAAAGCTCCTCTGTATCTTTGCAGCAAGTGAAGGAGCTCCTTGCCTCTTCTGCAAGAGCCCTCCGCTTCCTATTTTGCAATGAGCAAGCTCCTTTATCTCCTCTGGTTCCTAATAGGTCATGAGCGGGCTTCCCTCTCTCCTTCTCTTTTAGGGGATAGAGGAGGTTTTTTCATGTTGCGTTAACAGCTAGAGGACATCATTTATATCCATTCTGTCATTTCGTATGAGAAGATACAGGAGCTCATTCATCTCCTAGTCAGAGATTGAAGAACTCGTTCACAAGAGATATAGATATAAGAAATCTCTCATACAATGTATAAGAGCTCTCTCATGTCCTACCTAGTTCATTTGCCGTCACCAGCGCTCAGCTCTACCATTTCGTATCTTTTATATGACATAGCTTCTCTATCTCGCAATAGGTCATGAGAGACCTCCTCTTTCTTTTGCAGGAAATGAGAGAGGTCTCTATCTACCTTTTGTGAAAGAGCTCCCTTTGTTCAATCACAAGAACTCATTCATAGAAGCTGTAAGAGCTCTCGAATGTACTTTCTTGTGAATTTCCCGTCGATAGGTAGAGGAGCTCACAGCTCTACCACATCCTACCCTTTACATGGAAGAGGCTCCTCTATCTCGTAGCGGGTCAAGAAAGATTGTCTCTATCTCTTTGCAGAACATTAGAGAGTCCTCTACCTACCTCTTGTGAAAGAGCTCCTTCACCTCAAAATCAAATGCCACAACTCGTCTATCTTTCACTGGGACATGAGACAGCTCCATTGTGAATTTCTATTCAGAAATAGCTGCTTCTCTATCGATGAAGAAATCATGCGAGTAGCCGTTTATCGATGCATAAGAAATGACATAGCTCTTCTACCTTTTTGCGACAGATCTCTTGTTTACCCGAAATGAAAGTTTGGAAGGCCATTCTCTATCCCTTGAATGGGGACACAACTCATCAGTCTCTATCGTTTACGTGAGAGAGTTTCGCTATCTCTGAACAGGTCATCTGAAAGCTCCTTTGTGTCTGCGCAGCAAGTGAAGGAGCTGCTTGCCTCTTCTGCAATAGCTCCTCCGCTTCCTATTTTGCAATGAGCAACCTCTTCTATCTCCTTTGGCTCCTATTTCTCGTTTGCCATCACTAGGCAGAGGAGCTCTCAGCTCTACCATGACCTATCTTTTACATGAAAGAGGCTTCTCTATCTCGTAACGGTTCATGGAGTCATGACAGATCTTCTCTATCTCTTTGCAAGAAAAGAGAGAGTGCTCTACCTACCTCGTGTGAAAGAGCTCCTCCACCTTGTGATCGAGAGTGACAGAACTCGTCTATCTTTCAATGGTGCATGAGCCAGGTTTTTTGTTTGTATTTGAGAAAAAGCTTGTCTACCCGTGATATAATAAGAAATGAATAGCTCTTCTACCTTTCTGTGACAGATCTCTCCTTTATTCGAAATGAAAGTCTGGAAGGCCATTCTCTATCCCTGAAATGGGGCATGACATAACTTTTCAATCTCTATCGTTTACGTGATCGAGTTTCGCTATCTCTGAATAGGTCATCTGAAAGCTCCTCTGTATCTTTGCAGCAAGTGAAGGAGCTCCTTGCCTCTTCTGCAAGAGCCCTCCGCTTCCTCTTTTGCAATGAGCAAGCTCTTTATCTCCTCTGTTTCCTAACAGGTCATGAGACAGCTCATTTCCACACTGTCATTTCGTATGCGAAGACACAGGAGCTCATTCATTTTCTATTCAGAGATTGAAGAACTCATTCATAAGAAATGTATGAGAGTTCTCTCATGTCCTATCTAACTGATTTCCCGTCACTAGGCAGAGGAGTCCTCAGCTCTACCATTTCTTATCTTTATATGACATAGCTTCTCTATCTCGCAATAATCAGGTCGTGAGGGACCTCCTCTTTCTTTTACAGAAAATGAGAGAGGTCTCTATCTACCCTTTGTGAAAGAGCTCCCTTTGTTCACTGGCAAGAACTCATTCATGAAAGCTATAAGAGTTCCCGTCGATAGGTAAAGGAGCTCACAGCTCTTCTATATCTTACCCTTTACATGAAAGAGGCTCTCTATCTCGTAGCGGGTCATGAAAGATCGTCTCTATCTCTTTGCCGGACATGAGAGAGTCCTCTACCTACCTCTTGTGAAAGAGCTCCCCCACCTCGTAACGTACAAAGAGAGAACTCGTCTATCTTTCAATGGGACATGATCCGTCTCTTTGGTTTTGGTTGAGAAAAGCTTCTCTATCTGGTTTTGGTTGAGAAAAGCTTCTCTATCCATGAAGCAAACATGAGAGAAGCCGATTGTCTCTAGGCTGCTTATCGCTTCATAGGAAATGACATAGCTCTTTTACCTTTTTGCGAGAGATCAACCCTAATTGAAGGTTTCGAAGGCCTATCCCTGAAATGGAGCGTCGCATAACTCATCAGTCTCTCTCGCTTACGTGAGACAGCATTTATTCTATTTCGTAACAGGTCATCTAAACGCTCTTCTATGCGTTTGTAGAAGTAAAAGAGCTCCTTGCCTCTTGTGCAAAAGCTCCTCCGCATCCTAAAGAGCAATGAGCAAGCTCTTCTATCTCCTCTCTCTTGAATAGGTCATGAGAGGGCTCCCCTCCCTCTGGTTGAGGGAATGACAGAGCTCCTCCGCCCCTTACGAAAGAGCCTTTCTCCTGCTTGAAAAGCTGCGGGCGGGTGCTCTGGCGCCTCGTAGGTTTGGGAGGGCTCCTTTTCACATCTTTATCTTTCCGACTCCGAGATATAGGAGCTCATTTTTTCGAAAGTGGTAGCAGAGATCTCTCATTTCCAAGAGATCTTTGTCACTCAGGGAGAAAGCAAGGTTTTTGATTTCAAAGAAATGGAGGAGCTCTTTCATGTCCCATTAAGAGTGTGGAGCGCTCTCATTACGCATGAAAAGATTGATGACATGGATTCGTTACCATTCTTTAACTTTTCTCGAAGGGTCTTTTCTTTTCATATGCAGGATCTCTTTCATTTCCTATGAGAAGATAGAGGAGCTCTTTCATCTCAAAGATAGAAGAATGCATTCATAAACGGTATAAGAGCTCTCCCATGAACTATATCTCATCGTAGGGGGCATAGGAGTCTTAGGGGGCTCAGGATTCGCGTGCAGGGTGTAGGGTTTATAGGGCTACGGGAATTTAATGGAGGGTGTATTTGTGTAGTCTGCCTATTACCGTAACAAACCCGTGACATAACCCAGAGCCATTACTTGCAAGACTGCTTCTTGAAAGCAAGAGCGCTAGTGTCTAACCATTGTACATTCCTACATGAGATACCCCACCACATCTTGAAAACACCTCTTTCTCCAAGGGTTTACTGGGGCATTAAGGAACAAGAACGTGATGGTTTCAGCACCAAAGTAAGGGAATAGCAAAGGGTTTCCAGGGAAAACTTCCCTGATGCAACCGGTCTCTATCTCACAAGAGGTCATGAGAGACCTCCTGTATCACATTGCAGGAATGAGAGAGTTCTCCACCATGTTTGTTTTCCGAAATAGCTTCTCTATCAATGCAGAGTTTTGAAGGTCGCCCTGGGCCATTCTCTGTCCGATAAATGAGACATGACATAACTCATTAGTCTCTATTAAGAGAGTCTCTATCTCTACGTGATCGAGTTTCGCTATCTCTGAATATACGTCGTCTGAAAGCTCCTCTGTGTCTTTGTAGCAAGTGAAGGAGCTCCTTGCCTCTTCTGCAAGAGCTCCTCCGCTTCCCCTTTTGCAATGAGCAAGCTCTTCTATCTCCTCTGGTTCCTAACAGGTCATGACTTCTGCAAGAGCTCCTCCTCTTGATATTTTGCAATGAGCAAGCTCTTCTATCTCCTAATAGGTCAGAGAGGGCTTCCCTCTCTCCCACTCTTGTAGGGGATAGAGGAGCTTTTTCTTGATGCGTTAAAAGCTCGAGGGCATCGTTCATGTCCTGTCTGTCATTACGTATGAGAAGAGACAGGAGCTCATTCATCTCCTAATCAGAGATTGAAGAACTCCTTCAGGAGAGCTCTCTCATATCCTATCCTTTTGGTTCCCCGTCACTAGGTCCCTAGGTAGAGGAGCTCTCAGCGTCTCAGCTCTACCGTTTGCTACCTTCTACGTGGCAGAGCTTCTTTATCTCGCAATAGGTCATGAAAGACTTTCCAGCAAATGAGAGAGTTCTCTACTTTACCGCTTGCGAAAGAGCTCCCCTTTTTCAATGACAAGAATTCACTCATACAAGCTACAAGAGCACTCTAATGTCCTGTCTTGCTCATTTCCCGTCAATGGGTAGACGAGCTCGCAGCTCTACCGTTTCCTACCCTTTACATGAAAGAGGCTCCTCTATCTCGTAGCGGGTCATGAAAGATCGTCTCTATCTCTTTATCTACCTACCTCTTGTGAAAGAGCTCCCCCACCTCGCAACGTACAAAGACACAACTCGTCTATCTTTCAATGGGACGTGATTCTCCTTTGCTTTTGGTAAGCCCGAACGACTACCGGAATTAACTTCTTGCATTTCTTGTTTTTCTCACAGACAGGAAGAAGTTACGGAAATTAATTTTCACAAGGGACTCGACTGCTGCCCTTTCTGCCCAGCCCGCCCCCACACCACAGTGCCTATGACTGCGGAAATTAATGAATTGTGAATTTCTTTAATTTGTTTTCATTAATCTCGCAAGCCCGAACAGCTGCCGGAATTAGTTTCATGAATTTCATTAATTTCTTTAATTTCTTTGATTTCTTTATTGTTTGAATTTCTGAAAACCTTTAATTTCTTTAACTCCCTCAATTTCTTGAATTTCTTTACTTTCTGTAATTTCGTTTAATTAGTCTCGCAAGCCCGAACGGCTGCCTGAATTAATTTCTTTAATTTCTTTTTTATTTCTTTAATTTCTTAATTTCTCACATAGAGGCCCAGAAATTCGAGAAATTAAAGAAATTAATTAATTTCACTAATTTCTTTAACTTCTTTAATTTCTTTAATTTCTTTAATTTCTGTAATTTCTTTAATTTCTTTAATTTCTTTTAACTAGTCTCGCAAGCCCGAAGGGCTACCGGATTTTATTTCTTTAATTTCTTTAATTTCGCACAGAGAGGCCCATAAACTAAAGAAATTAAAGAAATTAATTGGGGGAGCCCCCCCGGCTCACGGGACTAATTTAAATAAATTAAAGAAATTAATGAAATTAATGAAATTAAAGAAATTAATTAATTTCTTTAATTTCTTTAATTTCGCACAGAGAGGCCCAGAAATTAAAGAAATTAATGAAATTGATTAATTTCTTTAATTTCTTTAATTTCTCACAGAGAGGCCCAGAAATTCAAGAAATTCAAGAAATTAATTAATTTCATTAATTTCTTTAATTTCATTAATTTCTTTTAATTAGTCTCGCAAGCCCGAAGGGCTACCGGAATTAATTTCTTTAATTTCTTTAATTTCTCACAGAGAGGCCCAGAAATTAAAGAAATTAAAGAAATTAATTGGGGCCCCCCCCCCCCGGCTCACGGGACTAATTAAAATAAATTAAAGAAATTAATGAAATTAATGAAATTAAAGAAATTAATTAATTTCTTTAATTTCTTTAATTTCGCACAGAGAGGCCCAGAAATTAAAGAAATTAATGAAATTAATTAATTTCTTTAATTTCTTTAATTTCTCACAGAGAGGCCCAGAAATTAAAGAAATTAATGAAATTAATTAATTTCTTTAATTTCTTTAATTTCTCACAGAGAGGCCCAGAAATTAAAGAAATTAAAGAAATTAATTAATTTCATTAATTTCTTTAATTTCTTTAATTTCTTTTAATTAGTCTCGCAAGCCCGAAGGGCTACCGGAATTAATTTCTTTAATTTCTTTAATTTCTCACAGAGAGGCACAGAAATTAAAGAAATTAAAGAAATTAATTGGGGTAGCCCCCCCGGCTCACGGGACTAATTAAAATAAATTAAAGAAATTAATGAAAATGAAATTAAAGAAATTAATTAATATCTTTAATTTCGCACAGAGAGGCCCAGAAATTAAAGAAATTAATGAAATTAATTAATTTCTTTAATTTCTTTAATTTCTTACAGAGAGGCCCAGAAATTAAAGAAATTAACGAAATTAATTAATTTCATTAATTTCTTTAATTTCTTTAATTTCTTTTAATTAGTCTCGCAAGCCCGAAGGGCTACCTGAATTAATTTCTTTAATTTCTTTAATTTCTCACAGAGAGGCCCAGAAATTAAAGAAATTAAAGAAATTAATTGGGGTAGCCCCCCCGGCTCACGGGACTAATTAAAATAAATTAAAGAAATTAATGAAATTAATGAAATTAAAGAAAATTAAATTAATTTCTTTAATTTCTTTAATTTCTCACAGGGAGGCCCAGAAATTAAAGAAATTAATGAAATTAATTAATTTCTTTAATTTCTTTATTTCTCACAGAGAGGCCCAGAAATTAAAGAAATTAAAGAAATTAATTAATTTCATTTAATTTCTTTAATTTCTTTAATTTCTTAATTTCTTTAATTAGTCTCGCAAGCCCGAAGGCTACCGGAATTAATTTCTTTAATTTCTTTAATTTCTCACAGAGAGGCCCAGAAATTAAAGAAATTAAAGAAATTAATTGGGGGAGCCCCCCCGGCTCACGGGACTAATTAAAATAAATTAAAGAAATTAATGAAATTAAAGAAATTAATTAATTTCATTAATTTCTTTAATTTCGCACAGAGAGGCCCAGAAATTAAAGAAATTAATGAAATTAATTAATTTCTTTAATTTCATTTATTTCCCTAAGAGAGCCCCAGAAATTAAAGAAATTAAGAAATTAATAGGTAAATAAATTAAATTCCTCATACAAGTGATATACGTGAAATGGACCCAAAAGGTCCCTCTCACATATATATATATGTAGAGACCGGACGAGAAGAATATTAGAAATTATTCCGACCCCCCCCCCCCCCACTTATTAATTGAGAGACGAGGAAAACAACGAGGTCCCAAAGAACCACCTTTCTCGTGGAAGAAAGCTTTTCTTGCCGCAAGCCGGGTTAGGAGGGTGGCTTAGGGTTTATAAGGGATTCTTATGCCCACTTGCTTGCTGACTGACCCTAACCCCTAAACCCTAACCCCTAACCCCTAAACCCTGGACTTCGTTCTAAAACCGGTATTGAAGGCTCAAGGGAACGCGCAGTGTGCCTGGCCGGCCGGGCACCACCCAAGGTGGCGGCGGCGACAGAATCATTCCGCCGCAATCAGCCGAGGCCGGATAGTAATCTTCTTCCTACGCAAATATTCACCCTACAGAAGCCTAAACCCTAAACCCTGTCTCGCAATTCACTTTGAAGACAGCCTAAGAAGAAGGAGCCGCAACCTCGAAATCCACAAGACGAAATAGCCCTCACTGTTAAAAGGCCTCTTTTGCATCAGACTTGCGTACCCTATAGAGACCCTACAATCCCTGCAAAGAGGCCGAAAGTATGGTCGAAGGGCTGTATATACCTCGGGTTTCCAGTCGGGGCTGCCAGGTTTGGGGTTAGTTTGTGCTGCCCAGCTGAACGAACCTCCGCTTCGCAGGCTCCACGGGTTTATGGGGTTCAGGGGGTTGCTTGACAACCCTAAACCATATCTCCCCAAAGGAGGGCCTATTGACTTTTCAACTTCCTTCCCTGTCAGGCTGTGAGCCAGGAAGCAGGCGGAACCCTGGAGCCCCTAAACCCTAAACCCTAAGCCCTACACCCTAAACCCTAGCCCGAAACCCGAAACCCTAAACCCTAGCCCTAAACCCTAAACCCTTTCATACAAAGGGATCATGAAGTGACCATGTTGGCTCCAAGACAAAAGATCGCATCGCAGCCGGCATGCCTGTCTCGGCCTGACTGAGCAACTCGAGGATCCGCACCTTCTCAAGGGACTCAAAAGGAGGGACCCCTAAAAGGGGACCTTGAGGGTTGTTTAGGGTTTAGGGTTTAGGGGTTTAGGGGTTTAGGGTTTAGGTCCCTCCTTATACCCCTTAACCTTCGAAACATCCAGGGGGGGGGGGGGGGGGGGGGGGGGGGGGAGTGCCAAGCAAGCGTTTTGTTGCGGGATTCCCATTTAAATAACAATATAAAAATAATGATATATTAATTGCTCAACAAATTCATAAAAATAAATTAATGATGTTACAAAAGGTTATATTAGTATTAATGATTCAAACACAAATAAAGGTTGATAACACAAATAAAGGTTGATAATATATATATATATATATACAAGAGTTAATACTGCAAAGACTACACAAATGAAAAACAAATGAATGAAATGAAATATAATTAGTTAAAGAAATACATAATCCACCATCAATTCCATATGGTAAAAACTCAAATGGTTGGATATATAATGATCAGGAAAATTCATTTGTTCCATGTATATATATATATGCATGTATATTCATTATGAGTTGCATCTGTGTATATATATATATATTAATATACATATATACAACTGATTTAAACAAAAAATAGCTGGGCAACGTGATCTGCAGCCGCGCTTTGCTTGATTTCATGTCTCCAACCCAATGCCAGGCCTCGAACATGTATCTGCCGGCCCGAAGGCCCACCTGAGGGACAAGGAGATCGGCCAGTTGCCAGGAACCGTAAACCCTAAACCCTAAACCCTAACCCTAGCCCGAAACCCTAAACCCCGACCCATGTTTGGTCAAAGGCTCCTTTTCCATTGGGGTTCTGCGCGCACTTCAAAGGCACACGATGACAATCCCTTTCCTCTTCAGGGTGAAACTATTCCCTTCCCACGCGCACCAAACGCGTGCCGCTTCCGCGTGAATTTGTCCCTCAGTGCCAGAATAGCACTCCTTCATCAGACCTCATCGGGCTGCCACCCGCCCAGCACTCTCGCGCATTGCGGAGACTACGTCAAACATGATGGTAGGGTTTCTTGCAAAATTCCTTGCTGATCGCCATCACACAAATGGGAATATTCGTAGATACTTAAACAAAACTCCATATGTAATATTCGAGAGTCTGCATAGAGTAATTATCTGCAATGATACTGATATTTCTCATGAGATGCAGATATGTTGAAATTTTTGCAACAAACAGGGCGAAACTCTGGTTGACTTGGCCACCCCACGTTCGCCCGCGCGCCGGCGAACAGGTAGTGGAGACCGCCCTCATTCAACCTGCCACCCAGTGCGAGGAAGCATGAGGAGGCCATCAGCGTCTTTGCTAGTCGCTGGTATCACCCTATAAACCCACCCTATTTGCCACGGACTTTGGGTTTCGCCCTGTGCCCACACAGCTTTTCACGTAGTTTTCACCCACACGGTCAGTGGTTAAAACCCCCAAACTGATTCGCTCATCTCATTGTTCACTGATCACTGAGTACATCACACGATTCGTCAGCTAGCTTCGCTCGGTATCATTGGCCCTTTCCTGGAGTAACATCCTGTTCTCATCTATGCATGTGGGACTTGCTTGGTGGAGCTTGGCATAGGGGGGTCCTGTTTACGCCCTTTTGAACCAAGGTTCTGGAGTCCTTGCCTGGATGCTTACACCCCAAACTAAACCCTAAACCCAAATCTGCTCTAGATTATTTTGTTTGGTTCTGTTAAGGGCTCTTGGGGCTGTGGGTGTTGGGGTTGGCTCTTGCGAATATATGTGGCTTCCTGGCCTGGCTTGTTTACGGAAGTTATAAGAGGCTCATGGCTACCTTATGTCGCATCCAGAACCAAGCCCAAACCCCCAAAGACAACCCTCCATAAACCCTAAGCCCAAAACCCTAAACCCCTTTAAGAAACAAGCCAGTCTTGCGCCATGAGAATGTTGCCGGACGTGCCGACCATGACCTGAAGAGCAGTCGCACGCCTGGTAACTGTGAAGCTCGGGGAGCGGCCCTAAGTCTGATGGGTGCTGATTGCTGTCTGTATAGGGTTTAGGATTTAGGGTTTGGGGTCTTTGGCCACCTGCCTAGCAGGCCGCGCAGTTACGTTGCAGGTTAAGGGTTTAGGGATGTTTAGTTCGGGGTACTCAGGCTTCGGAGTTATCGGCCGGGGGGGGGGGGGGGAAATGGCGAGCTTTTGCGCCTCAGGCCCGCTTCTGCCGCGATGTCAGGTGATTGTTCATGCGGCGTGTGTAAGTGCCGGCATTCCTGCAGACAGTGACGATCCCGCGCGCGCCCAGGGCAAGAGCCACAAAGGCCGCCAGCGTCGCCAGAAGGAGCTGTGTCAGGAAGCCCGGTTGCAGGCTGGCTCCAGATGTTCCTGGAACCCTGCATAGCAGCTCAAGGATCTGCTCCAGCACCTCGTCTTCTGCGACTTGAAGCCACGGGACAAGCGCAACGTCGGCCCGCGATGTGCCCGTTAATCTGAAAGGCTCGGAGTCTTTGAGATCAACAGTGGCCAGAAAGTTTGATCGCATCGTGCCGTTGCAGGGCTCACCTTGCTCCGATGGGCAGGAAGGCAGTTCGACAGCCCAAGATTCCCAGGTGAAGAGCTGCGGACGGCTTGCGGCGAGGAGGGCGATGAGGTCCCATGGAATGAAGCCCTGCGACAGCCCAGGGCTCGTGGGTCGCCCGGGCAGCCCCACAACACGTGGGTTGACCAGCCGAGGCATCATCCAGGTCTGAAGCCACATCTTCGGCAAGATCGAGCGAGCTGCGGCGTCTGGGCACTGCTGCAGACCTTGCAGCCATCGAGGTGTCATGGCCACTTGTGCACAAGTCTGGATGGGGACCAAGATCGTGGGCAACGCCGATTCAAGGATCTCCCTTGCCGCACCTCGGTCGGTCATGAAGTTCAAATCCAAACGCCGATGGGTGAGCTCGCCTCCCATGAGCACCGCGCCTTTCAGGCGCTCGGCCAGCCACGGGCCACGCCGCAGCGCCAATGCCAGGTTGCTTGCAGGGCCAAGGCACAGCACCGTGAGGCTCTGAGGTGGTAACGATGCCGCGGCGTGGAGAATCGCCCCCGCAGCATCGCTGGACTCTTCCTCTGAGATGCTGCCTGACAGGAGGCGCAAGGATCTCCAAGCAGGCTGCATGCTTCTCCACCCCAGACCTTTGGTCAGATTCCACGGCACCTCTGCCAGGGACAGCAGTGTCTTCGCATTGGGCCACGTGTGCAGCAGGGGCGCGTTGCCCCCACAGATCGACAGACCCACCACGGCCACCTTAAGGTTTACGAGAATAAGGGAGCCCCCAAGACAGACCCCAACTACTCGGATCCCCTTATAAATAAGGACCCCAATAAGGTACCCCCTAAACCCTAAACCCTAAACCCTAAACCCTAAACCGTAAACCCTGAACCCTAAACCCTAAACCCTATACCCCAACTTCCTAAGCCCCCCCACCTCTCCTGTGGCCTCCAGTGCCCTGGCGGCCAAGATGGCAAGGTCGTCGTCGCAGTCGAGGCCCGTCCAAACCAGCCCAGACGGATCCGCGTCGATCCACAGATTCGCCATCAAGGCAAGGGGAATTCTTGTAAGTAGTAGTAGTAGTAGTAGTAGTAGTAGTAGTAGTAGTAGTAGTAGTAGTAGTAGTAGTAGTAGTAGTAGTCGTAGTCGTAGTCGTAGTCGTAGTCGTGGTGGTAGTCGTAGTGGTAGTGGTAGTGGTAGTGGTAGTGGTAGTGGTAGTGGTAGTGGTAGTAGTAGTAGTAGTAGTAGTAGTAGTAGTAGTAGTAGTAGTAGTAGTAGTAGTAGTAGTAGTAGTAGTAGTAGTAGTAGTAGTAGTAGTGGTGAAATGATTCTGATGATGATTCTCTTCTTCTTAGTATTTATGTCATCTTTGATTATTATCATTTATGTATATATGCATTGTATATATATATATATATGTGATAGGGTGAGCTAAATTGGCGGTGCTGTCCTTGAGGTAAGGGTGACGGGTTGTCTTCATGGACATGCACTGCCTCACATGCTTCGACCAGTTGAAACTACAGGCTGCATGGATGAATCTGTGTCTTGCATTGCGCAGCCCATGCGTTACTATGCACTAAGCCCAGCACGTTCAAGGTGGTGTCGGGCACATGGAAGCATGCCTTCCTCAGGTGCAGGCAGGCTGGCGGCCGGAAGGCACCAAACAAACTCTTCAGAGCAACCGCAAATCTTCTGACGCTATGAAGCCGAAGGCCCTGTAAACGTCACTGGTCGTCAACATGAAGAAAACAAGTATGTAAGCAGGTTGGGTGGGATTTCTGTCCACAACGAATCCCGCGCCATTCAGCAGAACCACTATAGTGAGATACCCAACGCCCCAAACTGTTGACCAGAGCCTTTCGTGAGACTCGGGGTTCCGAGGTGCCTGAGGTCCCTGCGCGGACAGCGGACGACGGGTGTCCTCTTTGCAGTCCTGAAAAGGTTGCTTTAGAGTTTTCAGAGTTCGAGGGGTGGATGCGAAGTGGGCTCTGTTTTTCTGTGGCCGCCGAACTTGCGAGAGCTCCCAGCAACCCTCCCCCCAAAATTCAGGTCTCGCATAGCCAGGTCTCACTACAGGCTTTCCGCTTATTCATGGTAAACAGGGTGTCAGGGGTCCTCCAGCAGGCCCTACGCGGGCCCCCAGGCTCGGATCAATTACTTAGTCTGTGGAGAAGTGGTTTCGGGTCTACCGGGGGTGCATCGTCCACGTACGCGCAGGGCCATAGGGGATTCTTGAATGAACGAACGAGACAGCAGCGAGCACTTCCTTCAAAAAGGAAGTGCATTCGCAAATGCGTTCATGATCTTGACAGCTTCTGCGCTGCATGTCAGCAAATCCTGCTCGCTCCACGCCGCATCGCCTCGATTGGGTGGGCCAGGGCTTCTACAAACGTTTAGGGTGAAGGGCTTGTAGGGCTTCAAGTTTCTTATTCTGTGCCGTGTTGCTGAGGGTCTATGAGGGTTCTTGAGCGGTAAAGCGTTGACATGGTTCTAGGACTGTTGGTCTTTAGATGTCTTTAGCAGCCTTTCGGGTCATGCAAAGGCTAAAGGGACTGGCCATCGCAAATGGTAGGTGTGTTGAGAGAGGGGTTTGGGGGTGATCAAGGCGTCGTTGGAGCCTGCCCAAAACCTGTCGCAAACACCTGCCACTGATGGTAAGACTTTTGCCGCCCCTACCCTCCAGCCTATAGCCTTATTTCTTCCTGAAGCCCGACTTTCTTGTTAATGAGCTACTTAAACCGCCCCTACCCTGAAGCCTAAACATTATACTTCCTGAAATCCAGCCTGCTGTTAATGAGCTGCTTAAACCGCCCCTACTCTCAAGCCTAAGCAGTACTTCCTGAAACCCAACTTGTTTTTCGTGATCTACTTAACGCCGGCTTTGAGACTACTTGCTCAAGAGCCCCCCCAAAACAGATAAACAAAACAAACGGTCTTCCTTGTAAGGGTAATATAGGGATTATTGTCTATTTTTTGAGGGGTCCTTCAGCAAATAGTAGCTTGAGACAGGCTGCTGGCCGCCATCCTCTTGCCGGCCAGCACGGGGGCTATCGAGCCCAGCTGCGGGCAAATACTCTCACGCTGGGTGCACAAACGCATTTTGCCGCGCAGAATGGAAAGAGACAGAGAGAGCTAGGGCAAGTGGGAGAGGGTTTCAAGGGCCTTCCTGGCCGGTTGCACTACACTTTGAGCCCAGCCCTAGAGAACGCTGTCCTACAACGCATCAACAGTAAGCACTTCACAGCGTTTCTACTTCCGACAACTGAACCTTCCACCACCGGATGCGGTAGAGCCCTGACTTTCCGGCAAGAGGTCGCTCTCGGTACCATATAGGATGAGACGCTAAATCTGAGTCCCACATCCAAGGCACAACCTAAAATCCCCCTTGCCCAAGCAATGTTTGCAGTCGGTCTCCTCCAGTACAGAAACCCTTAAAACCCTTAAAACCCTTAAAACCCTAAACCCTAAACCCTAAACCCTCCGCTCGCTGTTGTCAGGCCTTGTCACTCTGCTTGACTCCACTGAGTCTCTCGAAATGTTCGCCGCGTGATGTTGGGCGACCTACCCCCCCGGTGCCGAAATAGACAGCGGGGGGAGAGAAACGAGTAGTGAGTAGTGAGAGCCTGGAGGAATGCGCTATCTCACCACGTTGAAGGACCTAGGGCGAAAAATTCCCTCTCTCGGATGAGCTTTAGAGAACAGTCTCTCACACCAAAAATCCCTAAATCCTAAACCCGAGTCTCTCCATACTAAACTCCTTTGCAACAGGTGTCTGCGGATCCGGAAGTGTCGCACCCGTTCTCTCCGAAAAACATCGAACTCCCAGCTGAGAGCTTGCAGTTCAACGACACCCTAAACCCGAAAGCCTAAACCCCTAAACCCTAAAACCTAAACCCCAAACCCCAAGACCCAGCTGAGAGCTGCAGTTCAACGACGCCCGACTTTGCTCTGCTCAGCTGAGGAGACCTTCAAGCCAGGGTTTAGGGTTTAGGGTTTAGGGTTTAGGGTTTAGGCGTGCCGTGGTAACGCGTAAGGGTATTGAGGACTTTGGGGCTGTAGGCCTGCCTTTAAGGTTCAAGTTGGGAGTGTGTGTACATGCATATGTATACAAGTATATTGCACATGTGCGTATACGTACATATTATGTTCTCAAGAATGTCCGTGGCTTCTGGAACTACACGTTCCTGAGTAGCCGAGTTATGGGAAACAGGAACTCGGCGTATCGCGCCAGACTACATGGAACGGTCGCAAAGCATTGTTAAAACGCCAAGTCGGCCACCGAAATCATGGCAAACATTGGTTTTTGCCGCCTGGACGTCATCCCGGCCCTAAATACAATATTCAATATGCTTCATTATGCATTTAGTTTGATTGACAAATCTGGTAGTTCGTGGGTTGTTCATATTGCTAAGTGGCCGGGAATATCTAAAGAAATTAGGACAACTACTGGGACAACCAAGCCGCCAAATGCGCGTCGGGTCTCGAGACGAAAGCGCCTCAAAACGCATCGGTTGAGTTCCTCCATGATCGGTTATGCATTTGAGATGCCACTTAGTATCCATTTAGTTGCGTAGCAAATACGCAGTACTTGTTGTAAACCTAGTTTCCTAGCATTCATTCAACGGCTGTTGGTGAAGGAACAAAGTAAGCAAGCCACAAAAACTGCACTTGAGAAAACAAACGAATCAGTCGCCAAAAGAGAAAACGCGCACAAATGGTGAAACGCGTGCACGGATACATGAAGAAGCGTAGTCTTCAATAAGCTCTAGATTGTTTAAGTGAATGAAAACTTTCCCAGTGAACGTTATGTGTTGCAACCCTAATTCTATGATGAAAAGTGAAAAAAGGGCGGTTTGGTCATGCATTCATGCAGATAGTATGGCGGGCCTCCAATCAATCATGTTAAGCAAATACACTAGCATATTCATCTTGTCTTACTTGCGGGGGGACTAATAAAATGACGAGTCTTGCTCGATAGAGGCCATTTCTGGTCATCATTCAGACAGCGGCTTGAGCCCCTGAACACAGTATGGACACAAACTTGAAAAAACTAAGCGGGCCGATTGATCCGATCACTAGACGGAAAAACATGACCTCCAATACAAACAAGGGTGGTATTCGATAAGCTCTTTTGCTTCCGTCTTTCAGTCACTATACAGAAACATTGCCTAACCCCAACTTCGAGAGCTGAAATATCGAAGAACAATGCCGTGCGCTATGGCTGTGATTTGAGGGGACGGGGGGGGGGGGGGGGGCAGCAGCATGCCGCCCATAGGCACTGCACCCAGATGTCAACACTCGAATAGGCGATAACCCTGAAAGATGAAATGCCCTAAACCCTAAACCCTAAACCCTAAACCCTAAACCCTGTTTACTGCGTGCTGTGTACTTGGCGTGTGGATGTCAGGGTCAGGATGCGAAGGAGGAAGATGCCAAGGAGGAAGCATTTCCTACTTGCTCGATTCTAGGTTGGATGGGTTTCCTTTGGCAGAAGCCGGGGGGTGGGGCATATGCATACATGCGTATAGATATATGTACATATATACATATATATGAGCATACATACATACTTATTCCTGTACATGTCGGCATATCATCATGTTTCAGGTTGGGTTGGCTTTGATGCACCGTGAGATGAATGCACCTGCTTCCTTTCCATGGAGATTTCGTGCTTCAGAAAAAGCCCAAAAGGCCTGCCGACAGGGGCTCAGGAAGAACCCCACACGATGCCAAAGCGGGCAAAGCAGGGCGCGCGCGAGGGCGCGCGCGTTGCGTGGATGGATGCAGTGGCGAACAGGGCAGGGGCTTAGAGAGAATCTCCCTAAACCCTAAACCCTAAACCCTAAATGCTAGGAGCCTCGCAGTGGCTTGCTTTTTACATATGGTGAGATGCACCCGCATGCGTGCAAAGCGGTGCCCTCCCAAGCCTAAGAATCCAACACCTACGTTTTTCGTAGGGCACTTAAGAACTTCATAAGGGGCTTTATAAAAAGAACCTAAAAAAATGGTAGGGTTTAGGTTCTTAGGGATGCATCCCCCTAAACCCT